TTCTTCAATTTTTGTGAGAAGCAACATTAGTCATCATGAATGCCAGCACGTAGAAAAGCAGACAATGCAAATCGCTTCAATCAAAATGAAAGTGAAAAACAAAAATCTGATGATCTCTTCCATCTACTGCCCTCCAAGGTTCAATCTAAGAGCGGATGACTACAAAATGGTCCTCGACTACTTGGGTGATAACTTTATCATTGGTGGTGACTTCAATGCCAAAAACACCTTCTGGGGATCCAGACTCACCACTCCAAAAGGTAGGGCGCTGTATGAAGTAGCAGCAAAAAACAACTGCAGTTTCCACTCAACGGGAAAACCGACATATTGGCCAACCGATAGAAATAGGATCCCAGATCTCCAGGATTTCTTTATTAGCAGAGGAGTCTCTGATAACTATACCCACGTAGATGAGGGCTACGATTTGAGCTCCGACCACTCTCCTGTTATCCTGACAGTATCCGAAACGGTTATTCTTAAAAATGATATTCAAAGATTAACCAACAGAACCACTAAGTGGAATGTCTTCAGAAATATACTTGAGAATAACACGGCGCTGAACGTATCTCTTCAAAACAAATACCAACTTGAGGAAGAGCTGGACGTTTTCTTTTCAAGTATTCAGGAAGCTGCTTGGAATAGCTCCTCTGAAATCAAAATCGCAAAAAGAAACTTCATCTATCCTCTGGAAGTAAGGGAACTAGTTTCAGAAAAGAGAAGGGTTCGTAAAGTATGGCAAGCTACTCGTTTCCCGCAGGATAAAACCCGACTAAACCAACTGAGCAACAAATTAAAAAAATTACTCAGGGAAATCAAGAATAAATCTATGTCTGATTTCTTAAGTCAATTATCAGCTGGTAAGGAACACGATTATTCTTTGTGGAAAGCAGTTAAAAATATAAAACGACCAAAATATCAAGTGCCCCCTATTAGAAGGAACGAGAATGAACTTTGGATCATTAGCGACGCAGATAAAGCTGGTGCTTTCGCAGACTACTTAGAGGAAACATTTGTCCCCCTATCCAGACAGACTGCTGAAGAGAATACATCAATGGCGAACATCAGCATCGACGCTGTTAGAATTGAAAAAATAAAACTTACGGAGTTAAGAACAGAAATCAGAAACCTTGAGAACAAGAAGGCCCCTGGATATGATTTAATAACTGCGCAAATAGTGAAGGAATTGCCGCAAATAGCGATGAAAAAACTACTTCTATTGTTCAATGCTTCGTTAAGGCTAACTCATGTACCCGCCCAATGGAAAGTAGCAGAAATCATCATGATCCTCAAACCTGGAAAACCGGCCAACGAAATGAAATCCTACAGGCCAATTTCATTGCTACCAGTGTTGTCTAAGCTGTTTGAAAAACTTCTCCTCAATCGCCTAAAACCAATTATTGAGGATCGAAATCTTATCCCTAGTCACCAGTTCGGGTTTAGGGCTAAGCACTCCACCATCGACCAGGTACATAGGCTAACAAACGTTATTGAAGACACACTTGAAAACAAGCAGTTCTGTTCCGCTGCCTTCCTGGACGTGGCGCAGGCGTTTGACAGAGTCTGGCATAGGGGACTTGTATTCAAGATAAAGTGCAACTTACCTGAGCCGTATCCCACAATCTTGGAATCATACCTACAAGACAGACTATTCAGAGTCAAGTTTGGAGACGAATACTCGTCCCTGAAAAGTGTGAGGGCTGGTGTCCCCCAAGGAAGTGTCCTTGGTCCTCTCCTCTACCTGCTATATACAAGCGATATCCCACAAAGCGGCCAGACGTTTCTTGCTACGTTTGCAGACGACACGGCTATATTGGCAACTGGTACAACTGTCGAACAGGCTTCAAGTAAACTCCAGAAATCTTTAGATGAGGTGTCCACCTGGACAAAAAAATGGAGGTTTAAACTTAACGAATCCAAATCCGTTCACGTTAACTTTACCAACCGAAGAGCAGATCCAATCAGGATTCTACTTAATGGCGCAGAGGTTCCATTTGCTAACGAGGCCAAGTACCTTGGCATGACTCTAGATGCTAAACTTAAATGAAAGGAGCACGTAAAGAAAAAGAAGATTGAGTTGAACCTAAAATTGAGAAAAATGTTTTGGCTGCTGGGAAGGTTTTCTCAGCTCAGTCTACACAACAAAATTCTGCTGTATAACCAGGTTCTTAAACCTGTTTGGACTTATGGTATACAATTATGGGGGTGTACCAAAGATACCAATATTAAAATAATTCAGACTTTTCAAAACAAAGTCCTTCGAATAATGGTTAATGCACCATGGTACGTAAGCAACGATACCTTGCACCGTGATCTCAACATACGCACTGTCAAAGAAGAGATAACAAAATCTGCAACCAGTCATCAGTCAAGACTGCTACAGCACGACAATCCAGAGATGCTGCAACTGACAGATGGTAACCAAGTGAAGAGACGATTAAGAAGGGTCAGGCCACTTGAGCTTGCATCAGTGAGATAAAATGTACTATTATCTGGGGACTCATCAGTGGATGACGACCCCACAACCGCCAACACACGATAGAAAGAATTGCTGGATGTGAATTATGTTCTCAGTTGCAATAATAAAGCTTATAAAAAAAAAAAAAAAAAAATTATAACTCCGAAATTGAGAAGTATTATAAATTCAACCATTAACCAGCAAAATCCTACATAATAATAATAATAATAATAATTAACAATAATAATAATAATAATAATAATTAATAATTAATAATAATAATAATAACTAATAATAATAATAATAACTAATAATAATAATTAATAATAATAATAAAAATAATAATAATAATAATAATAATAATAATAATAATAATAATAATAATAATAATAATAATAATAATAATAATAATAATAATAATAAATAATAATAATAATAATAATAATAATAATAATAATAATAATAATAATAATAATAATAATAATAATAAAAATAATAATAATAATAATAATAAAAAAAAATACTACCAATATATGTGTATGATAATCAAATTAATTTGATCACAAATCTAATTAAAAAAAAATATCAACTAACGATTTCAAAATGAAAGTCATTAATAAAAACAGATTTGTAATATATGCTGAAAAAAAATCTGATGTAATGAGCACATAACTGAACGCAATGTGTATTGTCTAGTTAAGTGAAAATGTCACAAAATATTATAAAAATGTCTGTTAAATACTTCTTTCCAATTTGTGAGGCATTAGTATGCTTATAGTTAACATACGTCCGTAGTAAACGTCCAGTTGCTGATGCCTGATTTGTTCCAAAAATTTCGCGGACGGTCGAGTAAAGCTCAAATATGTAATTTCAAGTAAATCGGTTGAATATTTTCTTCAAAATTGTGAAAAATGTAAAATCGACCCGCAAATCAATTTTCGAGCCCTGATCTTTCTAAAAAATTTATATGTTCATTGTTTTAATATGAGGAATTCATATATAAAATTTCAACGAAATCGGTTGATTATTTTTCTTTATATACACAAAAGTGTATGTTTGGCCCGTAGTAAACGTCCAGTTGCCGATGCCTGATCTTTTACGAATATTCGTAATAGATTAATCATAGCAGGCTATTCACCTACCTAGTTAAACTCTATTGCTCCTTCTAGGAGTGAATAAGGAAGAAAAAAAAATTCTATTACGAATATTCGTAATAGATTAATCATAATTTACGCTTTTTTTGTTTTAATTTGAGTTCTTCCAACACAGCTACCATAGGAGGAAATGTATTCATATTTGCTAAAAATTTTTTTTTTCACTTTTCAAGAACACTGAAAAACTAAAAAAACCGACAAAATTTCGTTTTTATGAAAGATCCTTTTTTATGAAAGTTGTCTACTCAAATTGTAACAAAAAACAAAAGTAAACATTTGACAGTTGAAATAAAATACTGATTTTGATATACCGAAAGATTGTGTTGCCATTAATGATTCATAATCTCTATGAGAGGAATTTGTCATCATTTAAAAGTTTACGTCGAAGCTAAGTTCGTAATTCGTAGAATTTTACGAGCGGAATTCATGATAGGGCTGATAATCTTCTAAGAAAGTTGTTATCTAAACAGATTTCAACGCATCCATAGTATTGGCATGTGTGTGTTCGAAATTAGGATTTTGATCATTTTAAGAGAACTATATCTAATTCGCCGGGAAACCTTACAATTTGAGAGAATGCGGAGGTATCTCAAAACAGTTACCCGAATTCACATATCTTTAGAGCTTTGTAACCCACGTAAAGTGTTACAAAGGTCTGAATTTTTTGCACAATTTTTGTCATTTATTTCTTAATATTACCAAATATAGTAGAAGCAAACTGATGCACAACCTTTTACTTTGAACTTGTTCAAAAGTTTAAAGATTAACACATTTTAAACTTAAAAAAATTATTACTTAGGTAATTTGTTTTCACAGTTCTTGAAAAGAGCAATGTTTTACGCCGAGTAACCAAAGTCAATTCAATTTGTTTTCAATTTGAGTTAATTACACAAATGCATATTGAAGTTTTTTTTATGTAAATATAATTTTCCACGAAAATATATGTATTTATTATGGCAAATATAGCCGTTGATAAACAGACTACAGCTGTAAGTACTCTTACTTTCTTTTCTTATTGCAAATAAGAAAATAATCATCTTATTTTTCTTTACCTTAATCAGTGTTATAATCTCTTGATTTCATTAATAATCACTGATTAAAACCTTAATCAGAGTTATGTATGCACCAAAAGTTCAAGGAAATAACTACTTAAATTTGTGTATATTGATTAAGTGGGATCATAATATATTTTTGGTCATCAATAATATTTCAAAGTCTTATTAATTGCCTATAAATTTGCACACAATATAGATCTGCGGCCCAATAGTTGTACGTGGTACAAAATTTGTAACAGTTAAATGTTAAAAAATGTTAATTCTTGAATTGATCTAAATCGATTGCACTAGCATATTATTACTAAATCTTATATATTAACATATTTGTTTATTTACCTGTATACAATTGATCTATTCCTTACGGCGATTAATTTTATACAATATTTACAAACATATTCTCGAATCAATTGTTGACTTCAATTTTTCATTTATTCCTACAAACTAATCCTCTAAATTTGAGTGAAAGTTCTTGCTTTGTCTCAAAATCCGTCATCAGTGTGAAAATATATACTATTTTATAAAAAAAAATTAGAATGAAACTTAATTTACGAATTATTGTAATAAAAACATCGCCGTAAAGTATGTATATTTTAATTTTTATTTAATAATTTGCCACCATATAAAAAATTTTATTACCCACTCCAAATACAACTTAATATTGTTCATTAACCTGCAGGGATGACATGAGCTAGAATAATTGCACTTATTTAGATTGGATTAACCTTATGTTTGTTGGATTTAACATTATTTCTGCAAGAATATAAATTTAAATTTTAAAAATAAAAACAGATTTGTATTAAAGAGGCTTTCAATCAAAATATAAGAAAAGAATTTTAAAATATAAGATTTTAAAATATTATGTAAGTTTGTCAACATTTTGTGATTTATAATTAGAAATTTTAATATAAATTTTATTCTTTCAAAAAACAGAAATTTTTAGGAATACCAAAAATTTTCTATGATGTTGACACATAATTTTGTTTTACTTTTTTTGTCTAACGAGTTCCATTATTTTTTGATATTACTTAAGTTTAAATATTAAATAAAAAAGCAAATACAAAAATATTTTTTATTTTACTCCGTTCTTTTTACTTTTATTATTTAATTAGGATGCATTTTGATATAGTTGTGTATATCATTATCAGCTTCTGTTCCATTCAAAAGTCTTCAAACTCGCATTCTCCAATTTGTCACACTAATATTCAATAAACTGTTAGGGGTAAAAGAATAAAAGCCAATTTTTTATAAATTTTTATGTAAATTTATTGCGAAAGCACAACAAAGTATGAACCTTATTCTAGCATTACTAAGTTATTTCTATCCTACGGCAATATTGGGAAGTGTTTTTCGATGATATTTTCACAAAGAATTAGAAATACTAAAGGAAGGAGCATCTCGGAAAAACAATTAGGCCAAATTTTTCTAGTTATCTCTTTCTTTGCTCCAAGCATTGTCAAAGACGTAACACGAGCATATTTATTTTATTTTCTTGTCTGGCTTCTACTATAAAACATGTGTAATTTATAAGAATTTCAAAAAACATTTTCATTTTAGATATCTGTAAAAAAAACCAAATTTTAACAAAACTCATTATTTTTTTTCTCTTCAAATTAATTTACTTTATAAATTGCAAATAACTAAAAATATTTTAATATCAAAATATTTTATTACACTCGAAAAATGGATATATTTTGTTAAACAATTTCTTTATTATAAGTTTTGTTTGACAATTTTATCGAACAATTATTAATGACTCTAAAACAGTATAATTTTTAACAAATTTTAATTAATATGATGGTTATTACTCACAGAAGTAGATGATATGTTGTCGTGTTCTTCCTTATTCATTAATTGAGCTTCATGTACTAATTCATTTTAAAACAATATATTTTATAAATAACTCATGATAACACTTTATTTATTTACTGCATCGGAACGTCTTCATGTACGTTTTGGTGACGAAATCTTTACTCTATAAAAGGGAATATATTTCACTACATCATTTCTAGGGCAACTCTGATTATACAAAAAAAAATTTAAAATATTTGTTAGTATGCTACATTTTTTCAAACATAAACTCATTTTTCTTTAAAAAATAACTTTTCTGGTAAAATTATGTCATCCGAAATAATTTTAATTCAAAACAAAACAAAAACAAATGTTTTCATTGCAAAATTAAAAACTTAATAAAATTAAAATTTATGATGAATAAATCAAAGCACTATTCAATAAATATTTCTTTTAATTGAAACTTGTTGGAGATTTATGATGTTTATAAGAGCCCTACACAGCTTCTAATACAATATGTGTAAATTCGTCATCTGTAAAATGTCACTCTCTCTTATAGTCCAGATCTGTCTTTCTGTCAGCGGGGCGCTTCGTCAAACGAATTAGAAATATTAAAAAGAAAAGCATCTTTGTTTCTATATTACTTGTACCCTCTAAATTTTGTATGCGTAAAAAATTCACAGTAAAGCCAAAAACTCCAGGAAAGTCTCTTTCTTTATACCAAGCATTGTCAAATTAAAATTGTCAATTTAATATCAGATATATTTTTTGCCTTAGATCCTAGTATACGGAGAAAACAAATAAATTTTTGTGATTTTATATAATAAATTAGCGTTTTAATAGGCGTATATTCATAGGAAATACATATTATATTTTTTTAACATATTTTTTTTTTTAAATTTAAAATTTATTTTTAATATTTTTTAAAATTATTTATATATAAACATTTTTTTAAAATTTATACTCAAGTTATAATATGATACTATTACCTTTCTTGCTACCTTGTACTGGATAGAATTGCGGGAAGGACACTCCCGCCTTTAAAATTTTAAAAATCGGTTTTTAAATCGCCCTATCATTATTTTCTCTACTATCATCAAAATCAATTACTTATTGGAATTGTACATAAAACATAATGATATATGTATGTTTATATGTAAATATGTAATTATTATATAGCCATGTGTGCGATGTGTATTGTAAGGTATTATAATAAGTATTGTGACATTCATAACATCCATTTCTTTCAAAAATAAAAAAATTAATATAACCATTTTCTTTATCATTAAAAACATAATTTTTCAAAATTTGTTTAAATTTCATGTTCAAATGATTCATTTAATTAAAATTCAAATGATTCAAATTTCAATTCAAAGTTTAATTATTAGCATTTAAATTTTAAAAAACGATTTTTTTTTACATATGTTATATAAAATTGATATCTAGATATATAATTTTCTTTTTTTATTCTACTAGGTGAAAAAATCCCGAAAGACGAAAAGGGACGGCGATACATGCCTTTTTTCTCCGACGTGACACCCACCCTAAAAAATCACCAAAACTCTGAACGAATTAAACTGGTCCTCCAGATCAACTATTCCTCCAGATCTCTGCGCTAACTCTGGTTTTTCCGTACAGAAATTAAATACCTTCCATAAGGGAATGGGTATTTTGTGTTAAATCGCAAGGTGTTGTCCGTTTAAGTCTTTTTGTCATAAAGCCATTGTCTACCAGTCGAGCTGCTTCTATATTTAAATGCTGTTCTAGACGAGCCCTATGCCTTGTAGCACAGCTCCTAATTTCATCTACAACCAAAGGAACCCCTAAATCCCTGTGGATGTTACCGTTACGTATATATCATGGCGCATTTACCATGCCCCATGTAGAACTTTCTTCTGAAATTTTCTTAATGTGAGTCCAATCAATTGCCAAATTGGACTTACGACCTAGGAGCCAATAATTTTATCTAGATTTATTTTCTAATCCTATGTGTTTCTTCTTTATATTCTCTTTCCACCTTAACTTGACATCTAGTCATTTCTAGGTATTTTGCTGAGTTATGGGTTACTACGTTGGTTCTATTAAAGTTAATTTTTGGTTTATTCACTATTTTTCGATTGGTGAAGCCCATGTGAACCGATTTTGTTTCATTTAACTTAATTTTCCCATCTTTCGTTTACTAGCTTATTTTGTTAAATGCCATCTGTCATTTTTTTATCCAATTTTTAATGTTCGATCCTACTGCCAATATTGCAGTATCATCAGGAAAGTGGCTACCGTACCATTTTCTATTTGTGGTAGATCACTCGTGTAAAGCAAATACAACGTTTGGCCAATATACTGCCTTGAGACACAGTTGCTCTTTTTTCTCTTGGGGTGAAGTATTCAGCGTCTTGTTTAATTCTAAACAATCTATCAGATAAGTAAGATTCCAAAATTGCTGCAAATGGTGATTTAGTATCATTTGTCCTAACTTATGTATAATGTCTTTGTGCCATACTTTTTCGAATATCTGTGCTACATCTAGAAATGTAGAAGAGCAGATTTCTTTGTTTTTTAAGCTTTTTTCTATAATATTCGTTATTTTACGGACCTGGTCTATTATAGAATAGTTTCTTCTAAGTCCAAACTGAATGTTGGTATGAGACCTCTATTTTCTATTTCTACCTTCAATCTCCTTAACAGCAGTTTTTCAAAAAGCTTAGACATCATTGGTAACATTGAAATGGGCCTGCAAGACTTTGTTTCCCTCAAGGATTTCCCGAGTTGGACCACCATAATTACTTCTGCCACTTTCCAAGTACAAGGAACATACTCAAGATCAATAGCTGCATTCAAGATTTTCAACAAATGTTTCAATTCCTCGTCTGGGAGTTCTCTTAGTACTTCCGAACTAATAAGATCAAGACCTGGTGATTTTTTCAAGTTCAGGGATTTTATCTCTTCCGCAATTTCCAGTGATAATTTAGCTTTCTCTATATTGCTCCTCGCTCAACTGCCATTTGCTTTTATCAGTGGGGAAGCGTGCTTAATCGGTCTCTTTTTGCTCTTTGCCGCGTTTAATAAGACAAGTTCTGTATATAATTAGTATATCATCAGGTTGGCGGGAATGTTACCATCTATGTCTGTCCCTTCTCTTTTTACTTATTAAATCCGTTATTTCTTTATAATAGCTATTTGCTCTCGGTTTGTAGTTTTACATTTTTGTATTGTTCCAGGCAGCTTTTTGTATGATTTCAATAAATTCTTCTAACTCAAGATGTCTTAATTGTGTATTAATATTTACGTCAATATTGTTTATTATTTCCTAATTAAAGCTCGCCCAATATGTAGGTCTACTAGTCAAAATGGGTTTATATAACGTTCTAGTTATTCCTTCACTTAGTTTTAATATCACAGCAGAGTGATCTGAATTAAGATCATAATTATCTTCAAGGCTTAGAAAGTTTTCTGCTCTCTTCGTCTAGTTCACCTCCTATTAGATATCTATGTCCATGTTTGTACAGGAGATCTTTAAAAGTATTTTTCTTAATTTTTATCGAAGTAAGCTGAATTTCAGCAGTTTCTATCTTGAATTCTTCATTGAATTCTTTTATTAGTTTTACACTACCTCCTCTAGGCTGATTGCTGGGACGTACCGCTTTATAGCAATCATAATCTTTTATTTTAAGACTCGTATTATATGTCAAATGAGCCTATACATTTAAGGCCCTTGCTAATGAGCTCATTTTTTATTTCCTCGAGCTCACACAGTGGGTGGAGATTTCTAGCCACAACTCTAACTGGCCTTGTCAGTTATTCTCATACGTGTGCCACTCCTGTCTGGCCTAATTTGTAGCTTTTGCTAGCAATCTGCAATCAT